GGGCAGAGGGATGCTGAGTTCCCCACATGTGGGACTGAGGGGATCCCATCTCACTGCACGTGGGAGGGCACCCTGGGATCCTGCGCTCGGCTTGGGTGTGGGGGGACCCCTCCCTCGCACGGCTCTGGGCTGGTGAGGAAGGGGACCCCTTCCCAGTGTGGGCCCGAGGGCTGGGGGGTCCCGCGCTCACTGTCGGCTGGCAGGTAGAAGACGAGGATGGCCAGGAAGGCGATGAGGACGCAGGGCATGACGATGTTGATGATGTAGAAGAGCGGCTTGCGCTTGATGATGAGGTAGAAGGTGATGTCCTGGTAGGCGTTGCTGTCGGGCGTGAAGTTCGGGTCGATGTTCTTGCGGGCCGGCTTGTGGATGATCTCCCACTCCCCGTTCTCTGTGGGAGAGGGGAGCAGGGACGGGCATCACCACGGGCTTTGCAGCCCCCTGGCACCCCCTCGCGGGCCTGGAACGGGCCGTCCCCGGGCTGCCCGCCACCCTGGACACGGGCCTGGCCGGAGGCTGCGAGGAGACGCCCGTCACGAGACCAGCCTGGGGCTGTGGTGGGCACTCTTTACCGGTGAAGGCCGCGCGGTCAATCTCGACCCACTCCGTGTAGAAGGATTTATTGGTGGTTTTATCGAACTCTTGCCGCAGGTGCATGTTGATCTCCTTGGCGTTGTACATGAGGGATCTGCCCCGGAGAGAGGCGGGTGGGTACATGCCAGCCTGTGCCTGCCCGGTACCCCTCCTCGGCTCCTGCACCCGTCCGCTGCGCCAGCTGCCGAAGCCACATCCGCCAAGAGCCAGAAGACCAGCAGCTCAGGGCCCGGCGGGCACGTGGGGCCTTGGGTGGAGGTCATCTCTACCCACGGGTCAGTGTCTGGGGCCGAGGTGAGCCAGCCCGTCCCGGCTGGAGGCCTCAGCCTCTGCCTGGTACCCAGCGCCCGTCCCAGGTGTCACGGCTACCCTGGGTGACGGGCAGCCCGGCCTCAACCCACTGACATCGATAGGGACTGCTCCGAGGGAGATGCACATGGCTGTCTTCCCACCTGACTTCAGAGGGCTTGAGGGCTCTGTGCCAAGACTGGGGCCGGTAATGGGGCTGCACTGGCCAAACTGGGGCATGGGAATGGATCCCAGGCTGCTGGGGCCACGCTGTGTGGGCACGTACGGCTGGAAGGGACCTCAGGAGACCGTCTAGCCTGCAGCACCCAGACCAGCCCCGACAGACGCTTGTCCTGAAAAGCCTCCGGCCAAGGATATCCCACAGCCCATTCCACCACACCCACCCTTGGGACGTATCCAGCCTGTGTCCTTGCCCATCAAACCCGTTTCCTCTTGTCCTTAATTCTCCTTGTCCTCCTGCCAGGGCCGCGGAGAACAGCTTGTCCTCCTCCTCCTCTTCGTGGAGGGCTGTTCCCGGGGAGGTCCCGCGTCCCCCTCGGCCTCCCCTCTTCCAGACAACGGGCCCGAGGGGCTGCGGGCAGCGGTGGCGAGTGACCCCGGCCGTACCTGAACTTCAGGCTGCAGTTCTGCCAGTCGTAGGGGAAGAACTTGACGTTGATGGGGCAGGCGCTGTGGAAGATGGCGGGCGGCAGCCAGTACATGTCGCCCGTGTTGTAGACCAGCACGTTGCAGTAGTATGCGATCTGGAAGGTGCCGTCATTGCTGTGCAAGCAGAGCATGCCGGAGGGTGAGCGCCGCCAGCCGTGGGGGTCGAGAGGGCCCCGATTCTCCCCCCCGCCACTGCCGTACTGGCCCCGTGCCGGGATACCCCAAGGAAAGCTTTGCTGGCACCGGAGCAACGGGGCAGTCTCCTCCCAGCTTGGGCTCTGCTGAGTGAGTAGCAGCCCCGTCCTCAGCTTGAGGAGGGTGTGAAGATGCCAAAGGACCGTGTGCTCCCAGGCCGTGGGATGCACATTCCCACCAGCTTGTGGCCATGAGTACCGCGATGGAGACCGAAAAGCAGGTGTTGCTGACAGCTCCATGCACGGATCCAGCCGGCACAGGGCCCTGCTCCCCCACCCCTCTCCTCGCTGGAGGGACGCCGAGTGGGCTGGGGCATCCCCCCCACGCGGGCATCGCTGACCAGAGCAGCCAGCTGAGAGCTGGTGCCGGGCCAGTGACGGGTACCGCCACGGCCCGGTCCCCATGGGCTCTGCAGGGCAAGCTGCTCACTTGTTCTCCAAGAAGATCTCAGGCAGCCACAACATGTCCGGGGGGAGCCAGAGGATCTGGATGCCGCCAAACTCGGACTTGTTCCACTGCAGCCGGAGATCCACCCAGCTCTGCGGAGAAGCCCGGGAGACCGGTTCGCCCGCCTCGGATGGGAACCGGCCACGCACCCGCAGCCACCTCTGCCCAGACTGACTGGCACAGCAGAGGGATCGGGGGTAGGCTCTGCCCGGAGAAGGTGCCTTTGGCCTCCTGTGCCTCAAGGGCCAGGCTCGAGGGGGCAGGGGAGCCGCGGGGAGGGGGACAGGGGTGCTGCAGCAAGCAGGCACCGAGGGCAGGGGGATGGGCAAGGACTGGGAGTGAGCCCTCCCCACCCCAAAATCTGCCCCAGGGAGCCTGACCCCACTCACGTGCTCAATCCAGACATTGGTGGTGAGGGTCTCATCGGCCTCTTTCTGTAACGACACCGGGCAGCAATGAGGTGCAGCCTGGCCCCCGCCACCCCCTGCAGTGGTGCTGCGTCTCCCGGGGGCACGGTGCAATTCCAGCTTCCTCCCTCAGCTCCTGGGGACCTGCTCTGGGCGGGGGCTGAGGACCCAGCTGGGTCTTTCAGGGCAGGATGAGGCCCAGGGTGAGGCGAGAGAAGCCCCCCTGAAGTCCCGGGAGGCCCCTGAGCTGCCCCGTCCCCATGCCCAGGGGGTTCCCACGCCACGCACCAGCGAGATGAGGTTGGAGAGCGTCAGGGCAATGTAGAGGTCGACGGCCTGGTCTGTGGAAGTGACGGGGCGCAGGTCCTTGTTGTAGCCCTTCTCGTTGAAGAGGTAGTTGATGAGCCGCTCCTCCTGGTTCACGCACAAGCCGCCTGTGGGCGCGCGGCCCTGTGAGCACGCAGGGGGGCTTGGCCCCGGGTCCGGGGGTGGGATGGGGGACCTGCCGAGCCAGGCAGGTGGGGGGCAAAGGGGCAG